AGTTGTACCAAAACATAAATATGCACTTTTGTGTTCTTAAGTGGACGTTCTTTGTATGTCTTTTATGCCACCAGCCCAATCGTAACTAATACTTATAATATGTACAGTGTTTATGAAGAAAAGCAGAATTTCTTTCTCCGCATCAATATTCATATCATACCCACAATGTCGTCGTAAAATATTCTCATCAAAAAGACAAATTCTATTTCCTTGAGGCAGGTGACTACATTTCCTATTGGAACCATTAAGTAGGGTGTAATTGAACTAACGCAAACTAAAGCTTCAGGTATTCCTGAAGTAATTAGATTTTGTAAGCGAAAGTAGGTAGGTATTATATTATATCTGAGTTAAAAAGTTGAATGGCGCGCATGGCAAGATGCACGTTCCAGCGATAGCAACATGTGTTTGCGTCATTTGAGTCGTAGTCACAAATCAAAACTAATACACATGAAACTCTTTAACAGTCATTTACGAAAACATTATCGTATTTTTTTAGCTTTATGGCATACTAGCTTTTGCCCGCGGCTTCGCCCGCATGAAATTTCATTTGTCACAGATCGTCATAAATTATAGCCTATATGTTATTCTGGATTATAAACAATAATACTCTAACTAAAGTTTCATCAAAATCCGTTTAGTAGTTTTTGCGTGAAAGAGTAACAAACATCCAGACATCCAAACTTTCACATTTATAATATTAAGTAGGATTTCATTACGTGACTAAACTTAATTAATTATAGTTGTAATAATTAATAATTATTAATCACTTAGGTACATCAAAAATATATACCTAAATAGCACTTTAATTATTCATAATACAATACCTACTTGCGTTATCTATTGCATCAGAGTCTTAAACTGTTTCGTCTGCGTCTCCCGACATTTATAATTTTCAGACTTACTTATCGATTACTTATTATAACTACTCTGTCAAATATACTTATTTCAGTTTGTGGATTATAACATTTTTAGTTTCCATTTGAAAAACACACTAGCTTTCGGTGCAAGTAATATAAAAAACCTATCCTACACTTACTCGTAAGAGACGTAAAATTAGAATAAATTAACTAAACTGAAAAAGGGAAATGACGCTACCGTTCTATGCCTATGTTTATGTGCTCTTATCTGAAGAACTTCTAAAGGTTTTCACGAGACCTTCACTCTTGCATTTTCCGCGGAGACACGCGCGTATTTATTTATACCTCCCAAAAGCTCCCTTGAGGCTGAACTTCGTCTTAACCTTGTAGTTCTAATGATGTTGCCGATTCAAAGCTGTATTTACTATAACGAACTGACCTGGCGAACTTCGTACCGCCTATGTTAATCAAGAATGATGTAGAATTCTAAAGGTAAAAGAATTTTTCAAATCGGTCCAATAGTTCCGGAGCCTATTCAGTACAAACAAACAGCAATAAAATTTTACCTCTTTATAATAATAGTGTAAGGATGTTTACATAAAAAAATATCAAACAAGGACGATTCTATTTTATTTATGGCTAAGGTGATATTTCTTATCTATAGTATAATGTTGGTTTGCTTTGTTGACTGTATAATTTTCTCCGTACCGGTGGGTGAAATAATTAAGTATTTCATCGTAGATGTGGACGGAGTTAATGTTTTATTTCACATTTCGTTATATGTATTTCGTAAAAAAAATCATAGAGTAATACAGTATTAATCCTTCAAGGCCCGCGAATCTAGACACAATAGATAATCAATTGTTATGACATTAATGAATGCCGTCTGGGACTCAAGCGGTTAATAGAAACAAAACTAACTGACTTGACAGACTTCGTTCAAAGTTCAAATAGGCCAGTAGAATTAAACACAAAAATGAATTAAATCGGAAATAATTCCTACTAAAGATTTTAGTGCTTTAATGGCTTCATTAGTTGCCCATAAAGACTCTCCTAGGTTTTCGACTTCGACGGAGTTGTGCTTAAGTGGTGAGGGCCCCCGAAAGGGGCGCTTTTTCGGTTTTCCGGTTATACCACGTAAAGGACTTACCCTATCGAAAAGTGGTCTTCCTGGCGGTTGAAGGGCATTTAATCCTGCATTAAATAAGACCAAATTCATATGTTTTGAACAAACCGTTCTCGTGCAAATGTTCGGCAAAGTAGAAAATATGTGTATAATTAATGACCCTCTCCACGTCCAATGGCTCGTTACCCGCAGGCTTCCAAGTCTTGAAAAGAAGCGCCTCAACCAGTATAACCCTATCAAGGCTTACGAGCTGGATGCGCCTATCCTTGTTCGTCCCAGCCGTTCTTTAACTGCGGTTGCTGCACCTCTTCCTGGTACTCATCTGAACGACTCTGTGTTACCTACTGTGGCTGCCCCTCTTCCTTGTATCCTCCTGCACGACTACGTTGCCTAGCCGTATGCCTGGTCTAAGGTTCGACGCCAAAAATCAACAACAACAAGATCATATTAAAACGCTGAAGAGTTTTTTGTTTGTTTGTTTGAACGCGCTAATCTCAAGAATTACTAGTTTGATTGAAATAATTATTTTTGTGTTGGATAGCTCATAAATTGAGGAAGGCTATAGGATATATACAATCACTCTACGACTAATAGAGGCGAAGCAGTAAAGAAAAATGTTGCAAGCACGGAAAATAGTATTTAAACTATTTTCACGCGTACGAAGTTGATTTTGTGGCGTCGCACCTTGGGCCAGGCATATGGCTAAGCAATGCAATCGTACAGGAGGGTACAAGGAAGAGGGGCAGCCACATTAGGTAACACAGAGTCGTTCAGGAGAGTGCCAGGAAGAGGTGCAGCAACCACACTTAAGGAACGGCTGGGACGAACAAGGATAAGCAAATCCAACTCGTGAGCCTTGACAGGGATACGCTGGTTAAGGCGACCCTTTACAAGGCTTGGGAGCCTACGGGTGATGAGCTATTGGACGTGGAGAGGGTAATTAATTATACACATATTTTCTACTTTGCCGAACATTTGCACGAGAACGGTTTGTCCAATCCATATGAATTTGGTCTTATTTAATGCAGGATTAAATGCCCTTCAACCGTCAGGAGGACCACTTTTCGATAGGGCAAGTCCTTTACGCGGTATAACCGGAAAACCTAAAAAGCGCCCCTTTCGGGGGCCCCCACCACTTAAGCACAACTCCGTCGAAGTCGAAAACCTAGGAGAGTCTTAATGGGCAACCAATGAAGCCATTAAAGCAATAAAATCTTTTGTAGGAATTATTTCCGATTTAAAATCTAATTCTACTGGCCTAAAAATGAAAAATGGAGTGCTTACATTTTCTTGAAAAAATCAAATTTTTCTTTCTTCATAAGCTTTCCTGAACCTCATGGAATTTTTCCGATTTGATTTAACTCTGCCCGAGATTTGGGCTTAACAACACTTTTAGCGACAATCTTTATTTAGATTTTATTTCTGTGAAAAGCACAGTGGTTCATTAAAATAATAGGCTTCCATTTTTAAACTAGCAGTGAAGTTCGTTATTAATTTTTTATCAACATTTTCCGGCAGAACTGGGAGGTGAGGTGTCCATCACGTTGTCTGTTATTTAGCAAATTGTATTTCGGAGTTGCTCATCCACTTTGAACTTTATCAAATTCACCTGGAAAAATGTGCGGACGACGGCATCAAGCACCTGGTATCTTATGTAATACAATATTTTGAAAAATAACCCGCTGTCGTCATTTACCCACATTTTCTAAAGGATTTAGTGGAATTTCTATACAATTACGCATAACATCGCGTGATGAGTAATCGAATTGACGTATATTTATTATTTGTACAGATGTCAATAAGATTACAGGCTATTTAAATATTCAATTGTAGTGAAAGCATTTTGAGTAACGGAAAAAACAGTTTGTACGTGTCAATGTTATATATTTGGATTAGGAAATAGAAACGGAAGTTACTGAAATTGTATTATTATTAAGAAAACAACTTACGAAACATCATCCTATGCCTATTCTATAAGGAAAATATGTGGAACTGTAACTATTTATAAAGGATAAACAACATAAAACTTTGGGTCTAACTTCAAGAAGTATTTGTCCATTATAAATAAGTATAACTCTATCATTAAATAAACAGTTCACGAGAGATACGTTAAAATAATATAAGTACAGAATTTGTTTACTATGAGCAACTAATGACTAGTTCTAATAGAATTTTCCTCATTAGAATAATTCTACAGGATTTCAGCTAACAAACAATTAGCTGAAATCGTCATAGTTTCCTGTGATATAACTTGTAATATTCCGCATAATATTGTTTGTTGTGGAATAGTAAACTCTTATCACTGTTGTTATGTCTATTCTATTACATGGAGTCGTTTAGGTACTAATTGTATTACTACTACGTTGGACATTCAAGTACGTAAGTTATCAGAATAAATGATCTGATATTTCTCGTAGACAACTCTAGAAGTCATAAAGATCCAATTGAAAAAACACACGTTATGTGATCCATATTATTTAATTTCAGTGCCTTATAATTTAACCAGGGCTAAGATCGCAAATATTATAACTTGTGTAAAGAATATTCATGCATTGACAGCAAATACCTGAAGATAAATCACTAACATAGTTCAAAGATAATGTTGTCAAAACAGCTAGAAAGAAAATCAATTTGCCAACAAATGGTGGTCTTCATTCAGAAAATAACATGTTACTTATAAGATTTTAAATTTTCGAATTCCATTTCAAGTCGAGACCCGTGTTTCTCTATTTTTGTTGAAATAACATATTCTCTTTGTTAGTTAGTGTTGAATATATCAATACCTACTTTGTTGCAGTATTGTTAATGGTGTAGTCATTTTTAATTAACAAATAATGTACTAGAGAACGACAAAAGTTTAAAACTATTCTTATATAAGTATATTAATGTCATAATATAGCGCGATCTATAATGATTAAAGAAAATTATTTAAGGTCTTAACATTGTTTAGCCCATATCTCGATTTTGATTTTAGTTCCCCAAAAATGTGCTAAGTGTGTGAAAAGATACTATCTTACCGTTTTGGATACTATGTTGTCTTCATGCAGACATAGGACATGGGTCTCCCACCGCCTCAGGAACTTGGCTGCCAGAATCTTCACGACCACTGTCCTGGTATGCTGGAAGCAGCACACCCTGAGGGTGCCTTCCGTGGCCAGCTTGTAGCGGGGGCCGGGAGGGGGCACTGGCGCCCCAGTCGTTTCCAGCCCGCTGCTGTCGGTACAGCATTCGGGACTTGAGCCCTGGGGATAAGAAAATTGGGTTTATTTTCCGAAAATGTGATAAAGTATATTTTAGGAGTTGATGCCCGTTTTCACCATCAATAACTAATTTTTAAGTGACCCCTATGAAAACAAAATTCATAGTGTTACCATAGTAGGGGTCACTTAAAAAGTAGGGATTGATGGTGAAAACGTGCATGAGTCAAACAGAAGGATGATGTATTTTTTACTAACAATGTTCGAAACGAAAGTCTTCTACTACACACATCCAAATGTAGCAGCGACAGCCTTACTGTTGGTTATGATTTTTTTCTATAAAAAAGTAAATATTTATAAACAGAACCGTCAATAAACAATATGTAACTCGCACTTGACCGGATTTTTTAGAGTAAATATGGCACCCACTATACAAATGTGTACCTATAGCTTAACGTGTTTTTGAGGCCTTTGGTTATTATGTATTAGGTACACGCGAAACGCAATAATTTCTTTACTGGCTAAAAGAACTATACGAATATTTCTAAAAAAAATCCTACTTGGTTGTAAATCGTTATGTAGAGCAGTGCTTCTTATATAAGTTCGTTATTTTCGTGTAAGTATTATGTTAAAAAAACTTAATTAATCTTTATGAACGTGTTTTATTAAAAGAAACCAACCACAACGACATCAATTACCTATCATTAGAGTTATGTTAGTAAAACATACTGTAAAAAACGACTAATTATACTCATTAAATGCAATATACACAAAGCAAATTACAATACGAAAAACTAAAAGGAGTTTACTTGCCATAGAAATGGTTGGATTATGTACGGTTATTGTGACGAGCGGAGCGAAAACGGCTCGTTCCAATGAAGGCCGCACTAACAATAAAGGCTATTAATCTGAAAAGCTACGACGATGACCATTGGCTGTGCCCTGAAGATAAAACTAATGGAATCATGTGTTGGTTTTCCGCTCAGTCTCTAGTTAAGCGCAATTGTGACTTGTGGGCGCATGCTCGCATCTACCTATGGGGAGGTACTAATATTATAAAATCGAAAGAAACCGAACTGATTTTTGTCTTAAAGATAAGTTGGACTGTGAAGAAGGACATAGGAGAAGTAGAATTCTCTAAGGAAAAAAAACTAGAAAATGATGAAAATTTAAACACGGAATAAAATAGTAACTTACTTATTATGTAGAAAAGGCAGGACACTCATCATAATTCCATTTCTGGGAAGAAACAAACCAAAAACCACGCAAGTTGCGGGCAGAAGCAATTTCAATGACGCACGGGATTGTACCTCCTATACGTGAAACGATACATAGAAATATCCAATATTTTTATAATATTATGACAATGCATATAGATCTAAACTAGCGCTGCACTATCATCGAGGAAGTTATTTTTCATAACAAGGCAGTAGCTATTTCTGAGTAAATTACCTAACAAGTACTCGAAATGTGAAATCTGTTATCTCTACTCTGAAATCATCCGGGTTAACGCCCTCTGAGGTCCGAAGATGGATAGGTCGTACTTTGCCCACCTGATTAAAACAAAGCATTACATAATTTCAAAGGTGATAGACCCGAAGAAACAAGAAATACTCGTGAGTAATAAGAATGTGTATTATAAAATTTTTTGCTGCAATTCACAAGGTTAGTCAGTACCTTCACACATTCGTCTTTGATTGCATATCCAACTGCGTTTTATTGGCGCTGGAAATACCGGCAGTGGCGTGGTAAATCAAAACTCTTTGGAATGTCACACGTCATTTCTCGATAATAAGCCAATGTAGGTACTTAATGTTGTGCGAAGCGAAGTTGATTATAGCGCAGTTTTAATTGGTTCCTGGTCAGTTGGAAATAGCTTTATTTCAGAGGCAGTGAGGTACAGACGACAGCATCATCAGGTCATATAATCTCCACTACAGGATCTTAAACTGCTATAATTTTCCAGAGAAATTGAGGATTTTACACTCATCACTCACTGGCATAAGATGCAACTGCTTAGCTTCATGTGCACCCTCTTTCAAAGCAATTTTTTCCATAAAACATCTGTTGCCAGGCAAAGCTTCCGTTGCTTCGGCTTTATGATTGTCGAATGCTGAAGATTTATAATGATTTGAAAGCAGCTCGTACCTTAGGTACCTACTTTACATTACGTAGGTACTATAAAGTTGACACAGTCATTTATAATTTTAGATTTTTTACTTTAAAAATTAGCATAAAACGGTCCGATTTATTATGTAAAAGGATATAAGTTTTTAAATAAAGTTTGAATGTTCCACATTTTTCCTCGTAACAAAAAACCGCACACCACAATCAGTAACGGTTTATTTACGCAATAAGCTATACTTTACATTACGTAGGTACTATAAAGTTGACACAGTCATTTATAATTTTAGATTTTTTACTTTAAAAATTAGCATAAAACGGTCCGATTTATTATGTAAAAGGATATAAGTTTTTAAATAAAGTTTGAATGTTCCACATTTTTCCTCGTAACAAAAAACCGCACACCACAATCAGTAACGGTTTATTTACGCAATAAGCTATATTTTCCGGATGATAACGTCACAACTAAAGCAATTATTATTTTATGTTAGGTACAATGACAATGCATACAGGGGATTGGATGCAGCATCAACGAAATAACTGGCGATATGACGCCACAGTCAACCTTGCAGGTCCAACGTATACAACAAACTCCTTTTTAGGGTTCCGTACCTATAAGATGACAAAGAGACCCAATTAATATGCCTACGTTCTCTATCGGTCTCATGAACTTCAAGAGGTAATTAATTAGATAAGAGTAGGTACCTGTTGCCGCTTTAATAATACAAAAATTAAATAAAGTGGTTATGCTTTTTCTATTTATCGTGTGGTACGTGGTTTTTGATCTGTTACAGAAAAAGAATCAATCAATCTTCCTGGAAGTAGAATTAGGATGAGTATCATCCTTTCTAGCCTCGACACCAAACAGGGAAATAATATGTCGCATTCATCTTATTAACGAAGCAATTACGATTGATGATAAGTTCCTATAATAATTTAGAAAGTAATGGAAAAATTTACGTTACTTTAAAAGTAGAAAGCAATAAATTTAAATAACTCCATACCTAATGAGCACAATATTGAAACTTATTGCGTATTACGTTCATAAAATAAACTTTTTTGACAGGATGCAGTCGTTACTGCGACATGTAATATCAACAAAATTGTGTTCAGTTTAAAAAACTTTAACTACGAGTATGTCGTACGTTCAGATTTGAACGTTTTGGTATACTTTCAATAAACGTGTCGAGCAAACGTACTAAAATTATTGAGGAGGTGCCTTTGTGCATTGACCCCGCGGTGCCGCATAGTACGACCTACATCGTAGTCGCTGCTCTATGACGTCATTGCAGAAATTTGGGTCATGGGGTCGGTGCGAGCGGGCCAGACGCGGCTGACGCGCTGCTTTGGGATCGACCCGGGCTCTACCAATCGTGATGCATCCTATTAAATTGAAATGCTTTAATTCTGAGCCGAAAATAGCTTTCAGCACCTGATTGTTTGTTTGACTCTATGAAATTAATACAAGTTCTTACAAGTTAAGGTGAGGTTAACTTTACCCACGTTTCATGCCTGAATTTTTATTCTAATTATTATGAACGTCTTGCTAAATGATTCGTTTAACTTTATGACATTACTAAAGCTTTTAAAAGCTCAGTACCTAGAGTTAACTTCGCCCACCACGCTTCATGCTTGAATTTTGATTAACTATAAAAAAAATCCTAAATGTATTCAAAACGATAAGTTAGGTTACATTTAAGTACGAGACGTTAACATTATTTAAAAATAGATAGACATATTTTAAATTTAATAAAGATTTAAACCAAAACTTGACAGTTCATTATTTATACGTATTCGCTTCGCAACAGATTAAATATAATAGTAATGGCTGCGAGCACGTGGAGTGGATCTGAACAATGACCTCATGCGTCACAGCTAGGCCTTGTGAGAGCAGGAACTGAGCGCAGGCGGCGCGGGCGCATCCTTTCACAACTTGGGTGCAGTCCGCTGACTCATGCACTTTCTCGCGTCTGCGTCTGGTAAATTACTTCTCGATTTGTTACTTACAGCCATAAAGAACGTGTGAGAGATGACTCGGGAAATTGCAACGAGTTGTTTTTATTAATGGTTATGTTTTCGTACTTCGCAGTAGATAAACTGAAGTTTAAATTGCTTTGTTTGTTTTACTCTACTACACTATACTAGGTAAACTAACAATGCTGAAATTCTAAAAGCCTGCTACGATGCTACGAGATTAATATTAACCAAATACGTTCAATGTAGGCATGTGTTTAGTAAAATAAGTTACATTTAAATGAAAAGTGCTAGCACTTATCGGCTTTTAACTTTATTACAAATTCCGTTAGTTTATGATAACCCATTTTCCTTAGATATGCTTTAAATTATAAATAGACAGCGGTGGGAATATCAAAACAAGCCCACACACTGTTCGTCTAATTCTGGAAATGTTGGGTAAAACCCATAAAGAAAGAAAACTTTTTGAAAACAAAATAAATGAGTGTGCAAAAATGAAAGTTTATTGTTGTATTAAAAGTCCTATAAAATGTTTAGAACTTATCAAGTTATAGGTAGTTCTATAGAAAAAAAATGGACAATGGATACGACTAAGTGTAAAAATTCTTAATTGAAGCAATTAATTGTTGTTTCGTGTTTCCTTATTTCTGAGTAATAGAATTAGATGACGTGTCTAAAGACTGTTTGCTTGCGACGTTATAAGTGACTGGCCAGACAGTTACATCAAAATTTAATGATTCATAATTAGGTACTACTAAGTCATTCCACTTTACGGACAGTCCATTGCGGAAATAGCAGATTAAAGTGCGACTTCTACGTCAGAATGCGACCAAACTTGTAGAGGCAACATGGAAGAAAGACGATATTTCATATTTTAGCCTTAGGTACCTTAAGAAAACGTTCTTAAGAGACTTTACCCTCACATTTAAGGCATATTTTGGAACCGCATTTACAGATTTTGAAAAAAAAGTGCAAATGAAATCAGTTTTTAATAAAAATCAACAATACCTATCGAACTGAATGAAGGTAGAGCTATAACAAATCAAACTGTTGAAGAGCAAACGCTGAAGTCTGGAATAAGTTCGTTTGCTTTCATTTGTTAGAGCGACTTTCATATTTCTGCACTCACTGAATGCAGAACTGAGGAACACCAATTTCTCTTACCAATATTTTAAAGTATCTTCTGTGTACAATATTCATTTGCATATTATGAGTCACTTTACTACTTCTACTATAATTACTTCCATAAAAATTAACGACTCTCTAAAATTATACAACGGACGCGAACGTCACCAGAGATAAGTGTTTTTTGCGTGTTGCAATACTCCAATGGTTTCAATTTATCTTTCAGCATGTTTGCCTACATCAGATACGTTATAAAATATTTTCTTTGACACTCCTAATAAATTGCTAAAATAACAAAATAGTCTTGAGAAAATTATGAAAGTAAAAATTGGGGATTTTGTCGCGTGTATTTCGATTGTTTTATATTTAAATTATTTAGCGCACAGCACGTTTGCACGAAAGCTGAAGGCTTTGTTTTTTCTTAAAAGCATAAAAATAGAAATGATTATATTCTCAACTTGGGAAATGATAAGATACCTACTACCATAATTTTTGTGACGAAAATCGCGATGGAGCTTACTTAACGGAGCACTGATTGTCTCAAGTTTATCAAGCAGAGGGGTCTGTTATTTTCAATTGTGGCTGATTATGATATCTTGAATTTATTTATATAACAGAATTTAGATGACGTTTTTTGTTTTGAGTATATTTAGTCATCATTTGAAATGAAATTGAAAACTTATGTACCTACCTATCGGCCTTTTTCAGAACTAAGGTACGGATCGGTTAAAGCCTCACAGTAAATTTTTAACTGTATTATAGGTAATAAGTGCGTCCATGTATTCTTGTCATAATTTCAATAAATAGGGAGTCATCCATTTTTTCCTTAAAGATTTTCATAATCTGAAATTAAAATTTAAAAATATTAGGCAGAGGACTTTATGGCACTTTTGTAAATATTCGCAAATATTCAACACATTGTTCCTGATTAAAACCTGTCTTTCAGATACTGGTAGTAGTTTTACTTGGTACTGGTATACCTACCTATTATGTAGGTACCAATACATGGGAAAAATAATGTGCTATAAAAAGCGTTATCAAGATCGACATGGCTTTTATTGGTGATGTTTGTACTGCTTATAGACGCGTAGGTTTTATGAGGGCGAGACGAATGGTCAAGATTAAACCCGTGGTTAGTGGAGTTGAACCAATCGATACGAGACCGCACGTGGCCCGCACGGTTCCTGTGCGTGGTTGATAGTAATAACTTTGGTTTGATAACTTTTTAGGAGAATACTCTTTACCGATTCGGAACTGACTGAATTGTTTTTGATATGAGCTAATTATGTGGTGTCGTTATAAACTATGAAGGAGGCAAAATAAGCCTGGCAATCAAATATTATATTCTTCTTAATTGTAGGTATATGAAAGTATTATTGCCCAAGATCGTATTAGTAAGAGCAGAATAGTAATAAAATCCGATCGCAAATAAAACGATACAGAGAGAAAGAATAAGGAAATGAAGGAAGACGTTTAAATATGAGGAAAATTTTACTAATAAAGTGATTTGTTAATAAATACAATACATGAAATCGTACTTCTTTAAACAAATAATAGTTATGTAAAATAATATAGAGTTACTTTATTAAGTCAACTCTTTATCCAATTTTCACTTGAATGACTTTGCTATATGCTGAATGTAATAGAAATTTTCATAAATTTCATACGTTTTTGGAAAACCAACAAATGTATGATATGTAAGCACGTCGTGTATAAATTCAATAATAATTGTGACGTGTGATTGATTTCCTGTATTTAGGTACTGAATTATAATTTTCTGAAATTATATTTAATTAAATGAGGAGAATTGTTAAATGTGGAAATATAAGTACCTAACTGTGTAAATACGTTATTAAATAAAAAAAACAAGTAGGTAATTGATGATACATACTTTCAATACATGAATCAAATTCTTTCATAATAAACTTTATTAGTAATTTTAATCCGTTTGAGTCGAGTTATTATTCCTTTCATAATTCAGACACCATTATGCTCACGTTTCTTGTAGGTACGCATCTATTATTAAGCAAATTGCATTAGATTTTGGGCATCGATTGTAGTCATGAACAGCCACTGCTACGGATGTTACATAAACATTTAGCCGGCCCCCGGCGATGACGCACAAAACCTGATTTATTCAATAAATATTCTGACTTCGTTGATGAAGTTATTGGTGAGAGATAGCTGGGAATACACTGTACATTTTAAATTTACTGCTAAAGAACTGAACATTTTAAGCCTGAAGAAAACTTCTAAGATAAACGTATTCCTATTTTCGTCAAAATACAATAAGTAGAACCTCGTGGACGATGCCCACGTGACGAGTTTGTTATACGTCACAAAATGTAATGTTTTTTGGAAGCGTGCTCCATGAACATTTTAGACGTATGTAGCAAAAACAAAATTTAAAATGCAGCGCTATTGGCTCCCAGAACAGCGTTAAGTTACTCCACTGTTTAGTTTTATGGTGGTCAAGTTATCTTGGACACTACTACTTACTTCTTTGATCTTTTTGGATGCTAGTTTGATCAAGAGAAAATCATAAACACTGCAATTTTACAGCACTAAGTATCATTGGCTCTACCTACTACTGTACCTCCATGTCGTCAACACCTAGAGTCAAGTGAAACTAATTGGTTAGTATTCTCTCTTAGGGTTTTGACTTACTTGACTTATGGTCCTCTTAGGGTTTTAGATGACATAAATTAGAAAAGATACAAACAAAATAAGAGACTTGATTATACGACGAAAGTGTACCTACGCCTAAACCTCAGCAAAAAGGATTGTTCGAGTTCGTTTCAAGAGCTTGACGGAGTCTTCCAGCGACTTGGCCCACTTTATTTACTTGGTCCACGGGCCAATTCGGTGGTTGAATTTTAATTATTATTTCTTCCAGTAACTGGGCCAATCCCCTTCAGGATATCAAAACAAATAGATAAGTATAAGTACACAGTCACACACCTTTTAGAAAAATTCTCAATTCAAAAAGCTAAGAAGAGACACGACCAATGTTTGTGATGGTCTGCTTCCAATGTTTATTTACAGCAACCCTATTTACTTCTTCCTTTTCCGAACGCTGCGCTTTTTGCCTTTTCAAATGAATATGACGTAAGTTCAATTCACTCTTTCCACTCGTATTTAGTGTAGACTTCGTCCAAACCACGTGCATAAGGTGTCACTTATGTAAGCGTAAAAACATCTTCTCATTGGTACTCACCAAAAACGATTCAGTTTTGTTTTATTTAATTTTTTACACGTCAAAAAATTTGTCATATGATTAATTATAATTATTTTACCAGTACCAGTTTTCGTTATATTTTTTATAGAAAACAGGTTACACGCTTTGCTGTTCATTAGCTTCAATTCAAGCCCCTATTTAGTGCTTCATTATGTTTAGGATCGCTGAGCTAATTAACCAAGCTGGAATGGGTTAACGATTTTTTGATATAAGGTGTAATAAAGTGGTAATTTAATAAGGTTAAGTCATCCCTGCATAGAAGAAGTAACTTGAGAGGTTTAAACGAAAAAACTTTTTGCAGGCTTCAGCATGATTTGTCATTATCTGCAATAGTAAGGTACCTAGTATACCCAATGTCACACCTCCGTCGCCGAAGATCCTCAGATCAGATTCAGTCAACAATCGCCGAAGATACAATTAGAACCTTTAGCATTATCATGATGACAATTCAACATCTACGTGTTGCTCTTGGCAGGTGCTGATGTCAAAAAGGGTCATCGAATGATACGCCCCCCGTGTGACGTCACAATAGGTAAACAGCATCACATAGTGCTGTTGAAATAACATTTGCGCGAATACCACGAGCAACGTTTTTTAACTTGTAACATAACATACTTATGAATGACGTTTCTCCGTATAATTTTGTCCGACAAATTATGGTATTGACACGTTGAAATCACTAAAGCTATTGTAAATTCAAAGCTTCATTCCAATAACCTAATTATTATAGTAGGTATATTGTTCATTAATTAAATAGCTAATTGGCAATAATAAAGTTGATTGGCTATAATTGTTACGTCATTAAAGAGTACTTTGCACATTGGACACAATTATGCGTGACCAATGATAGTGTTGCGTCTAATGAATGGTTATCGTTGTGCTATTACACTTTACAAACTTTTCGTTGAAGGAGATAACTTACGAAATATTCAGCAGAACTCTGGTCAGCCAGAGTTGGTGATAAGAGGCAGCCGGGCGAGGGGGGCGCGGTGGCGGCCGGCGGCGGCGGCGCCAGCGACAGCAGCTCGCCCGCCGACGCCGACACGCTGCCCGCCGCCGCCAGGCTCCGAAGCCGGTCGGCCAGGTCCGTGTGGCCGCTCGACTTGCTGCCGCCATCCTTGTCCTCGCCGCCGCACAGGTTGTCTATGATCCGCGGCCGCCGCAGCTTCCGCGACGCCGCGCGCCACCGCCGCAGCCGGCACGCAGCATTGTTCAGCACCTCCTCAGTGTCGCGGCTGTCGGCCGGCTCCTCGTCAGACTGCGCGGCGTCATCTCGCTGCTCGTCGATGAAGGGCAGCGGCGGGCCGGCCGCCGACGGCTCCGGGGCGTCGTCGGTCAGCACCGTGCTCGAGGCCCCGAGGAAGTCTCGCAGAGCAAAAGCTATCCGTTGGTCGGCGCTCAGGCCGTCGGGAGCGCTGTTCGCGCCTCGGTCGACCGGCGTAAATCTACAATCTCCGTTTTTACTGTCTGTCTTACCCTCGGTTTTTAAGGCACCATCCTCACCGGAAGTTAAGTCCACATTAATTTCTTGACTGAACGAGGGCATTTTCACAGATTCGGCTAACAATTTTTATAAAAACACTACACTTAATTTGTATATCTCGAAATATTATTCTATAATTGGAATATTTTATTTATACACATTTTATTTACAAATGCTCTATTTTAAGATTTGACTAGAATTTGGAGTATCTTTAATTTTCTCCCTCGAATTAATAAAAATAGGAAGTCACTAGCGATCCTCATATTTATAATCAAACGTGATAACTCACTCCAGCATCGGACGACGGTAACTATTCAAACTTTTTATATCTAATCGATGATTTCGGTCGGTAACACTGATACTGTTGCGAATGTTAATCACTCAACTACGGGGAATGTACACACCAAGCGACAAGTTTTACACAATTCCTGCATTTTGTGAACCCGCGGGATTCTTGCTGATTTATTATCAGTTAAATTACATGCACAATTGGCCTCGAATGGCCAATACAAGCAGTGTACGCAAACTGAACGAAGCACTACTGGCTGGCGCTGTCATCGTGGGCTATACATATACGCAATCTGATAGCGATATAGACTTCTTGTTTGTTATTGACGTACGCTCGGCATGCGCGTTAAAACTCAACTACACCAGCCTGCAGCGCCGCAGTCGGACGAGACCGAAGTTAGACTGGCCCGCTCGCTAACGCCACCTGCCTCCTCGATCAGGCACTGTTCTAGTAGCGGTTCCAACTAACTGAACCACCTTCGAGCCCCGTTACAGCTGTAGGTAGATAATTTTCAGTAAAGGCGTCAGGGGGCCTTCCCATCAGTCGACGGTTTCAAAGGAATGTAGGTGACTGAACCATCCATGTTCATAAATTAGTGGAATTTCTTAGCGGAAAATTTACTGCATTATTACGCATTAATGGTAGGTAAGTAGGTACCTACCATATTTTCAGGGTGTAAATTAATTACCTATTATTCTGACACAACGGAAACAGCTTTCTAAAATGAAAATAGAAGAAAAAATGTCCGTGAAAAATACTTACTAATGTATGAGCTCGATATCTTTTAATGTAACTTTCAACACAAACCTCAAAATATTCCGAAGTAAACCATGGTTCCCACATTGGTTTTATACTGATGCTGTAACAGTTGATGCTAAATATACCTACAGATTACTTACGCCTCAATATGAGAGTTCATTGGGGAAAAACAAAACAGCAGCTTCAGGAAATTACTGAAACTCACAATTTCGTGATACCTATTTACGAGTGTACCTACTACCTAAAAATAAGGACGCATTTAAACTTATCAGTGACTGACGCATACCCACGCTATTACCTCATTTTTTATGACGAGAATAAAGAAAGTCATTGCGAATTGTATTTTCATAAAATTTACAATTTCCTGCGACAAATAAGGTCATTATTATATCCTTCCATTGGGTACGTTTAACTACCTAAAACTGTTGGTTAAGTCAAACGTACTTTTAGCTTCTCTAGGACAATTAAGTTTGTTTTTTGAAACGCGATAATCGATTGTTTTGTTTTGACAGTATGCTCACATAATGTGTAATCTATCATTTATTTTAAATCATCTTTTGTTATAATCATTTACTTTGACAATAACATACTTACATTGAATCGCGCCCATAATGCAGATACTAACCCTAACATACAACCTTCATAAAGTTATTGACAGTTGAACGAACATCTAGGTTGTTGGCCGAAACGAGTGAATTAAGTCTTTAAACGTTGACATAGATTACATCATTTATGGGAGCCATTAGCCACATTAGTAATCCACATTGTGATGATTGCAATAATTTGTCGCTGGATGAATATGCCCATTACCCCATGAAGGCTGCAGGTATTAAGGAATACCATAATTAACTAAAATAAGGACACATCTGATACGAGCGCATTTAATTTTCAGACATACAGCCACTGTTTACCAATAAAAATATGATGAATTGGCCCATTATAATAAGTCTGAGGCACCAATAGAAGCCATTGTAGTTCCTAGGTTCCTCCATACCATAGTATCACTACATAGTATACCAGATGCAATACCAGTTACAATAGTGACAATAGGTATTGTCGGTACGTCAACGTCGATTAAAGTCATCAGTGCCAAATACATTTTGTCCACTATACCATACTGAGAACATTATTTCTGAGTCTTTTAGCAATCCTAGTCCACACCGCGATAATTACAATAATTTTTCGCGATATTATCATGCGTAACCACCTACAATGAAGGTTTTTGGTGGTAATGGATACATAAATAGATACCCTTTGTTGTACACCGCTAAAAATAAGCATTTTACAGGAAATACAACAAGTTGAAACGGCTCATCACAATTCAGTAATACTATATCATTTACAATACTAAGGACACATATAATACGCTCATTCACACTTCAGAATTATCATCAACTGGGTCTCATTTAATTTCTAGTTCTACTAAGCGACAGTCGGGTTTTTCAACATGTGTTTGTGGCTTTTGACAGCATGCATAAGTTTTCTCCCCACAAGCCCATCGTCAACTAATATTGTAGTAATACAAGGGGTACCAGCGCCAATCGTTGTGCCGACTGCAGCCTCTACTATGGCTCCAACTGTAGCTTCTACAATGTCATCAACATCTACCCCTGCTACAACAATGGCGTCATCACCTGCTACAACAATGGCGTCTTCTGCTGCATCAACAATGTCGTCTTCTCCTGCCACCAGTGCTCCTACAACCACTCCTACGCAAGTACCAAATAATAGCACGGCAGTAAAATTTCCCCGAGATAAAAGAAGCGCAGATTTGACAGGTTTCTTTAAAAGTACTGATTCTAAGCATGCAGGTCACACAATTAAAAAAAGAGAAAGCTGTAAGTGTGTATCAACTGGTACCTGCATCCGGCCTGGAACTGGAATAGACATAAGAATAGTCACTCCGGTAAGTTGTATTTTTAAAGAAGCTTTGTTTATTTAAGTAGGTACTAAAATAATTTTCATGTAATGTCGAATACACTGAGCCTTAGTGTATTCGACATTACATGAAAATTATTATAGTCACTAAGTGAGTATACCTACTACCTTATAGTATACCTATTATACGAGTAAGTAGACTACCTTAGTGACTAAGGTATACAAATTTTGTTACGAAATCAAACACAGCAATTACAAATATTTTAGGATACCAATGTAAGCCAATGCCCTGCTGGGCAAGAATACTGTTGTACTGATCCAACAACGCAGCTAACATGTGGCACGCTGCAAACAGTCCCAGAAGTTAACGCTACTGCATCAGCTGGACAAGCTAATTATGGCGAATTCCCATGGCAGGCACGTATGAACACAATAAACACAATAAGTAAACGATAGTAAAATAAAATATATTAAAAACAGAATGTATGCCCCTTATAGTATCTTTCAGTATACCTAAAATAATGTGGGGTGGGGTCTCTTTAATTCAGTCCTGAAAAAAATATATCTAATTTATCCGAAACTGTAAAATGCTATCACAATTTATTATATTTGGATTTGTAAGAAGTCCACATCGCGTAAATGTATGTGATGATAGGTTTTTATAAATTAATTCATAGGAAGTTTTTTTCAGGCTCTTGTATTAACGAAGCAAAATAACTATTTAGCAGGAGGTGTTCTAATCGATCGGTTCAACGTCTTGACAGTTACGCACAGGCTCGTAAAATATGTGTAAGCATGACAAAAATACACATAACATAACAAATAAAGTGTTGAATTTTCAAATACGTCAGACGTATTGACTTATCGTATTATTAAATACCTAATGATGAAACTACACTCTGGTTTATTCTACAGAAATCTAAGTATTGATTCAAGTTTGAACTACACCAACCTTAATAAAATTATAACAATAAATTACCATTTTATTATCAGAAAAAATTTCAGGATTTTAGACAATGCTCCAGACGTAAAAGTGCGGCTTGGTGAATGGGACGCTGAAGGGAGCTACGAACCTATTCCCTTCAAAGAGTTTAATGTGTCGAAGGTGTTTACTCACCCCTTGTACAACGAAAGCTCCCTTCAATTCGACATCACAGTGCTTCGCCTGGAAAGCCCTGTGCCACTACCTCCAGCTAAAGATTCTGTATCTACGATCAATACAGCATGCCTGCCTCCAACAATGAATAGTAGCTATGTTGGTCAAAGGTATGTATTTTATTACCTTTACTATTTTTTCCTAATCTTGAATTCCTTTTTCAAATTCATGGCAGTAATTGAAATTCCACCATTTTTACAGGTGTATGGTAGCAGGATGGGGCAAGAACATGTTTGGTGTGCAAGGCATGTATCAGCAAATACTTAAAAAGGTGGATGTGCCTATCGTCGCCTCTGCCACATGCCAGACGCAACTACGAACTGCCCGGCTCGGTGCCAATTTTGTGCTGGACACGACCTCTTTCATCTGTGCTGGTGATCAGGCTAACAAGGATTCTTGTACGGTGTGTATTTTTTTCTTTAGCTTTCACCCTCAGGGTCAGGGTAATCGGTACATCTGTCGTAAGATGTACTATGTGTGAAGCAGTGAAGCTCATTTGTTATTACCTAATGAGAACACTAGCGCTTTTTAAATTAGTTTTAGGAATAGGCATAGAGCAATATTAAGATTAATTATTCGTTGTATATGGATAAGATTATTTTTAAAATTTAAAGTGTCATAGAGTGTAGTAGGTCCTAATATTAAATGAAACTATAATGACTATAACTATACTTTATGGATATTTGTTGATCCATAGGGGGACGGAGGTTCAGGATTGGTGTGCCAAGTGAACGGGCAGTGGGTGGTGGTGGGCCTGGTGGCGTGGGGCCTGGGCTGCGCCAGCGCAAACGTGCCCGGCGTCTACGCCAACGTCGCCGGCCTGTTGCCATGGATACAACAACAAATAGATGCTGCGTGACTTCTTTTGAACAAACTACTATGAGTGCTCAGTAGCACTTTTGAAACTGTCAAAAGCAACTGTTTGTCAGTACAAAGTGATTGAAATCAAAATTAAATAAAAAAATATCTACTTACACGCTCGCTCGCTTAATGCGTTACTTTTTTGACATTGAAGTGCCCTGTAAAACACTGAAAAATCTATTTGAGGATAAATTTTTTCAAAGAAATTTTAGGTTTTACTTATCTACTTGGCTTTATTAAGATGTTAATACTGAAGAGATCTTCATGCGGAGAATGCCATGCTTGCATTGATGCGGTCAGCAGACCCAATAAAATCAAAAACGTCTCTTACAACATGGCTTACCTCATCGTTTTTAAAAGACTAGTTAAATCGTCACGCATCGTTATAACGATTGATGCAACTTTAAAATTGGAAATGACGCATTGTAACATTTGCATCCTTTACAAATCGTACAATTTGAATTCGAAAATTAACACAGCCTTCAAACATTTTTATGGATAGCTGAATGTAGGTTATTGGCCACCGGGACCAAAATGAGTTTGTCGTCAAACGATTCATAGATAATATCATTTATGAGACTATAACCAATTTAGCACTCCACATTGTGATTCTTGTGTGATTTGTCGCTAGATGATCACGCGCATTACACCATGAAGGCTGCAATTGTTAGGGGAATACCATCATTTACCACACTAAGGACATATTTAATACAAGCTCATCATCACCCCTGGTTTTACTAACAACGTCAAATGAGCGCATTCAATTTTCAGATTTACAAAGCGACGGTCGTATTATACGTAGTATTTTACAATGTGTCTATGGCTTTTGACAGCGTGCTTGGGTATACTCCCAGCAAATCCATCTTCACCTAACATTGTTATAGTACAAGGGGTTCCAGCCCCTATTATTGTCCCTACTACGGCAACAACTGCAGCTGCCACGGCGGCAACGAATGCGACTCCTACGGCGGCTCCGACTATTCAACCAACGGGTCAGCCTACTGTTCAACCGACGGGTCAGCCAACTGGTCAACCGACGGGTCAGCCAACTGGTCAACCGACGGCTCAGCCAACTGGTCAACCGACTGGTCAACCCACGGGTTCGCCACCCACTGGATCACCGCCCTCTGGATCACCACCCACTGGATCCCCAGGTGCGACCCCTCCCCAAATGATGGCTACTACAGCTACGATAGCACCAATGACAACAGGTGCTATCGCTTTACCAGTTATAGTTTGTAACAGTTCAGATACTATATGTGTTGCTAATCCCGATGAAACTGCAGGACCGCTACCGATCGATCCAAGACTGGGAACGACGCCAGGGTCTCCGGCAGCTCTGCAACTACCCCCAATCACAGGATACAGCGCCCAAGTACCACTAAATGACATGGCCGTCAGGTTTCCCAGAGAAAAAAGAAGCGCGGAGATGAACATTAAAGATTTCTTAGATAGTATTTCGGGTTCACAGCGAGTCCATACGATTGTAAAGAGACAAAGTTGCACATGTGTGCCAGCTGGCACATGCGTCCGCACTGCTACTAACGCAGGTGCCGGCCTTATCGATGTTAGAATAGTAACACCGGTAAGTGAACTTCTAATTTTAGCTAATTTACTTACCTTAAAAAATGACGCCTAACTATACATAAACCAAAATATCTTAACAAATTCCGAACAGGATTTAACTGCTAGAATGTTAATATTTAAACTTTTGGTTTCTTAAATGGGTAAACAAATATTTTAGGGTGCTAACACGGGCCAGTGCCCCGCTGGGCAAGAATACTGCTGCACGGGCACGACGTCGCAGACGCAAATAGCGTGTGGCACGCTGCAAACCGTCCCGGCTGTGTCCGTCACTCCAGGATCGGGACAAGCGAATTATGGCGAATTCCCTTGGCAGGTAAGTTTGAAGAAAGAAAAGTTTATATAAAATACATCTTGTAAAACCGACCTCTTTTTTTCTTAACTACTACAACTTAATATGTAGGTATACTTTTAAATTCCATGTATTAACTGACTTCTGCTGTTTTAGGCTCTTATAATGACGAAGCAGAATGATTACCTAGCGGGAGGAGTACTAATCGACCAGTTAAATGTGTTGACGGTTACTCACAGGCTTGTAAACTATGTGTAAGTATCATCAGATAAATAATCATACCTATATCAGAATTAGTAAAATAGTAACTGCAGTTAAAAATTTGGAGATGAGTAAAAATATTTGCTAATTACACTATATTACATGTCTAATCACTGTCTTGTCATATCTTTTCATTCAATTTAATTTTTCAGGGTTTCAGGCACTGCACCTAATGTAAAAGTGCGTCTTGGTGAATGGGACGCTGGGGCGACGTATGAACCTATTCCCTTCCAAGAGTACAACGTGGCGAAGGTGTTCACTCACCCCTCATACGTCCAAAACACCCTGCAGTATGACATCACGGTGCTGCGGCTGTCAACTCCAGTGCCGTTGACACCGGCCACTGGGTCTGTAACCACGATTAACAGGGCCTGTCTACCTCCATCTTCGACTTCCAGTTATGTTGGACAAAGGTATGTAACAGTGAAAAGTGACATTTTCTTCAATTTTCATAGCCGTCTTACTTGCTCATTCTAGTAAATACCTATATGGTTAGCCTGAACTGAATGAATTTAACTGAAATTATTATGGCCGCAACCAAGACTAGATAGTGCAATTAGGAGTCGAAACTGTGGTAAAGAATGTGTCTTGACTTTTTATCATTTAAAGTACCTAAATATTAGCTTCAATCAATTTACATGGTTAAATAATTAAGACATTTCACTGAAATGCCCATTCGATTCAGAAATTAGTAGTTACATGGGGCTCTACTTCTTGGGAAGGTAAAATTTGCATGAATATTTGTAAGTAAACGTACCTACTTTTCTTCTAGGTGTATGGTAGCAGGATGGGGCAAGAACATGTTTGGTTTGCAAGGCATGTATCAGCAAATCCTGAAGAAGGTGGATGTGCCAATCGTTGCCTCTGCCACATGCCAGACGCAACTGCAAACTGCCCGGTTGGGCGCCAACTTCGTGCTGGACACCACCTCTTTCATCTGTGCCGGTGGGGAAGCCAACAAGGATGCTTGCACGGTGCGTACTTATTAATTCAGCTTAGTACCGCTTAATACTATACAATTTTTCTGGAGTTAAGAGTCGCCTCTCGATCTACCTAAATATTTTTAAAATAACTTAAAAAAAGTACTTGTTGATACATAAGCCCTAGGTGCAGCAGGTAGATTTTTTAATTGCATTTATAGAGCTCGGTTCTCCGCACGAACAAAATAATATTTTACTTTAACTATTTGAGATTCATTTAAGTAGATAGGATTAAGAACTTACTATCGCACGCATTTGATATCCGCGAAAATCTTAAGATCACCTATTAATTTACGGTATGTTTTAAGGATAAAAAGATCGCCTAAACTGTGGTTTAGGCGATTACTATTGTATCTACACCACACAGAACAAAAAAGTGTTTCTATCTATTGTCCTATAGTTAAGTATTGTGTTGTTGCTGTAATAGCACAATATTAGATAAAATCAGCGCTAAAGAAAATCTTGCACTACTTTCCCACTTGATAAAACCTGTTTTTATATTTTATAGGGTGATGGTGGTTCAGGACTGGTATGCCAAGTGAACGGACAATGGGTGGTGGTGGGTCTAGTGGCGTGGGGGCTAGGCTGCGCCAACGCAAATGTGCCCGGCGTCTATGTCAACGTCGCCGGCCTGTTGCCATGGATACAGCAACAAGTTGCTACTGCGTAACTTCGTTACGGATGCGGAGCTCATTTAACCAAAGCAACTGGAATAAAAATAAAAGTTACCTAGGAATACGCTTACGCTTATTTTACAAGAAAAAAATGTTTCTCTTTTGAACTGTAAAAAAGAATAAACTACGAGGAAGCTTAACACAATAATTTATTAAGATAACAGTTTATACAAATAGCCGTGTAAACATTATAAAACATTACGACCCCTAAACAAAATAAACGACATAGTTAACTTACAGGAAAACAGCGTTCTAAACGCAAACTTCAACGGCATTAACTTTAACTTAAATACTTAATTACGGGACGTATTCTAGTATTGCAGCGGGAGATCCGCGTGTCGGACGACAACGTTCGCTTGGCAACCCGTTCAGTCTTCGTCGGGCTTCTCTTGCTTCACCACGGGCGGAGGGGAGGGGGCCGGGGGCTGCGGGGGCGGTGCGGGCGGCGGGGGAGACGATACCTCTATGTACTCATCTGTGTTACGCTCTTCTTTTATTTCTGGCTCGCGTTTGACCTCGGGCAAAGCTGGAGCAGGCGCCGAAATTTGAGGTGGTTGAATCGTCTCTGGTGGAGCCAAAGCGGCCCACGCGGACGCGGCTCCCCGCGCATAAGCCTCATAAAACGCTCTCTGTGCAATCTCTGCTTCTTCCAAGTGAACGAACGCGTGGTTGTCCAGTTCAGCGCGGAAGAAAAACTTCAATCCGCATCGTCCACAGTCGAATGGCTTAGGTGCTGAGGCATGTTCTGGGAGGTGACGTTGGAGGCCAGCCGCACTGGTGAATACGGCCGAACATAAGTAGCAGGTGAACGCGCTTATGCCTGCGAAAGTGTGTTCAATGAGATGCGCTTGCAGTCGCGTAGGAGAGCCCAGTGCTCGTCGACAAAGTCTGCAATCGTGATCAGCTGGCGGAGGTGGTCGTGGATTGGCATGGCGAGCGTAGCAAGCAGAGCACGCTCGCGCTCCCTCCCCTGCCTCTGATTCAGTCAGCGCCCGGAGACAAATCGCGCATCTCTGCTCATCCTCAGCTGGACGCAAGTGGAAGCGAGCGTGTAAGCGCGCCTCGGCCTCGGACGCTAGGGTTTGTCGGCAGACCACGCACGGTGCGGGGAGCGTCGGATGATGACGAGCCATATGCGTCAGGAATGACTCTTCGGACGGCAGCCGAGCGCGGCATCTCGCGCACGTGTCTCCTGCAACCACCTGGAAGCGTAAAAACAGAATTTTAGTACTTTTGAAAATGTTCCACATTTAAAGTGCAAAGGAACAAATAGTTTACGGCAGCAGTTCTTCTATTGGACGTTAGCCACCTAGAAGTGCTCAGAGCACGAACGATCAAAAAATTAACGTAGATTAATGTACCTTGCAGTGAGTGAGCTTGTGCTCGGCTAGCACGGCAGCAGAGGGCAGCACCTCGTCGCAGATGAGGCACTTGTGGCGCGCGGCCGCCGCCCCTGAATGCGCGCGAGTATGCGCCTCTAATTCGGCGCGGCTGCGCGTGCGCTCGCCGCAGTACGCACACTGCAGCGCCACGGCACCTGATGAAACATAAAATAAGTTTAATATTATGAGAAATGATAAGAAAATGATACTTTTTTAACTCGATTGTTCAAAAAGTATTGGATATTTTGATATCAACGATTTAATTACGATATCTATTCAACATTTTGCGAATGAGTGAATCGATAAAATCGCACATAGTTCTACTATATCGCACCTAACTTAGTAGGTACATAGTGAAGCGATCGCTCTATCAAAAATGTCACGAGTGTTACATTATGTATCTGTAGGCTTAAGATGCGCGCCGTGATAACTTTTATCGACGTCAAAATGTATGGGGAAAATCGATATAATGGCGTGATAACCGCTTATCGCGGTGCGCATCTTAGGCCTACTGGTGACCTTAGTTAGGTACAAAGCGCCCTACTAATCAGGCTCTGTTTACAAAGTGGCCTACCGTTCTTGCGCCGCCGCTCCTCGCCCGCCGGCGCGACGCCATTCCCATCAGCAAGCGTAGTACACGGGGAGCAGGCGCCGTCCGCACCCTCCGCTGCGTTGTTGTTCTCCAGCCGCTTCACTCGCGAGATGTCGCCATTCATAGCCTGAAATTACAGATTCGTTGGTTACTCCAAAGTGAAAAGCTCTGACTGACGCTATCGAATCAAAACCTACCCCCTTACTAATAAAAAGTTACACAGTTTTTGAAAACTGTTTTAAAATTACGTTTCCATACTAAACGTCACTTTAAAACACTGTTCAACGAGCGTGTAAGTTTTATTAGTAATGGGGTTAGAATATAAACTTTCTAAACCCAAAATTTACGGTTGGGTTTCAAAACGTATGAACGACAGCATTACTTTCGCTTTCATAATTTAGTGAACTATAGATAACCGTACCTGATGTGGAGAAGCATGATGAGCTTGCATATGCCGCTCCAGCAAGTACTGCACAGCAAAAGTGTCATTGCAGGTGGGCACAGGGCAGCGATATGCGCGATGAGGCCGCGGGAGTCGTGCACCAGCGCCGCCCAGCACTGCGCCGCACGCGCATCTAGCGGCTGCATGCCGTGAGCGCACGTGCGCGGCGCCCTCCGCTTCCGAGCGGAGCGGGCCCGCGTTGCCGCCGCAGGACCTACACATCCATACTTTGTTCTCGCCGCTGTGAGCGACTGCGAAGTGCACCTGGAAATATAGATGAGAATCTATTTAGAAACCAATAACCGAAGCAGATGTTTTCATAGCCAAATATCAGAAGAAAGAAAAGAAATGCAGGAAAGTTTTCCGATTGTTTACCGGGAAAACTGAAAGTTTTTTTAATTTTTAAAAGGACAACGTCTGACAGGTCAATAGAGATAAATAAGAAACAGTGATTCATTAGGATTACCTGAATAGCCACTTTGGAATCGAATATCTCCTTGCACAGCGAACATCGGTACAAGTGATGAGCATGTAAGTCGAGGAGATGCTTTTGGAGATCATCCGGAGCGGAGAAGCTTCGAGCGCAGCTGTGGCAAGTGTACTCGCAAGACACCGCCAGGTAGTAAGCCGCGAGGTGGCGCTCAGAAGCTGCTGCATCCGCGAAGGTGGCTCCACAATGGAGACACGGTGATGGACTGGCCCGTCCAAGTTCGCCCCCTTCTTCAAGGTGACCTTTTAAATGCGTTCGGAATGCTTCAAAATCTGGTAGCGCCGCATCGCATTGGTTGCAAAGAAGAGTGCTCGGCGACAATGCGGTCTGTGGAGTCCCAGACCCAGATCGCGGTCTCTTCACTGGAGGTGCCTCATCTGGTGCTCGTCTACTGAGATCTGTGGGTGTAGGCTGATCAACAGTCTGCACCGGCGTTTCTCCGTTCAGCAATGCGGAGTGAGCAGCACGGACATGGAGTTGCAGCTGTTCCATGCTGGTGAAAGTGTCGCGGGTGCAGTATATGCACGCGAGGAGTGCAGGCGGGGGTTGCGAGGCTACACGCCGAGGTGGAGTCATGGTGGGGGATTCTACTCCATGTGCACTGGCCATATGTGCCTGAAAACAAAGTTTAAATTAATTTGCGTAAAGATGGTAAAGCTCATTTGGATCCCTGATTGTTACTAAAAGTACCTGGAGCAAATCTGGTCTCCTAAAAGCATCCCCACAGCGGAGGCAACGCAACGCACGGCGTCGATCAGGCTCGCGGCCCTCGCGGTCCCTCTTGTGGCCCTGCATGTGTGACGTCAGCGCCGCTGCTGTGTTGTACCCGCGGTTGCAGACGTTGCATTGGAAGGGCTTCTGGTTGTCGTGCGTCTTCATGTGAATTTTCAGGTGGTCACTGCAATAGGTAGTGTTATTGACCTTTAATTAAACAAGAGAAAATCGTAAGTGAAGTATCTTTTTGACTAATTATATTAGTCACTGAACCAAATGAATACTGTAGCTTAGCAAGTTAAGCTTTAGTCCTTGTGTACCTACATATACCTACTTATTAAAGTGCTAATTACCGAATTTGCTCCAAACTATCTTCTTTTATTTACAAAGTGCAAGGATAATAAAAACTGTGACACCTTGTACAGATAGGGTATTGTTTTACGATATACGAGTAAAGTTTAAATCTTGTCTGCCGGCTATACCTACTTCAGATTCACCGAAAGATAAATTGTTAAGGAAATAAAAAATCTCATCTGCCTATTTCATTCGACATTTTAGAAAAGACCTTAACGTGAAGGGCAACGCAATCATACATCTTGCGTGATATCTTCATTCACCCGTAATAATCACCTCGAGATTACCTACGCTGACAAAAGAATGCATCACGAGAATCTCAGTAAGAATTTAAAAATCAAATGAGCTAAATCGTCTTTGTGTGACCAGCAACGACAATTTGTCATATGAGACATAAGTACCCACATAAAGCACGGACCAAACAGAACTAACAAAGGGGCTTTTCACGCAAACTACAGAATAGAGGCGCTCGCCCAAACACCTCCGCTAATGGCCGCGCTCGCCGCGCCGGTTTAGGTATGGGCCATTATTTCATTTTTGTGAGACCCTCGCCGCCATTTGTCAGCTCATCATCTCTTTTCACTGTCAGCGTTTCGTTGGGCGGACAAATTGCGTGGAATTAGTCACGTGACCGCGGCGAGGTGACGAAAAAGGTGACTCGTCGCCTCGACCACGACCCGAGCTTTGTGCGTGCTTTACGGTGATCAATCTCTCTGAGCCATTGTCGCGCACCTCTCCAACTACTCGTGGACTCAGTTGTTGAGGCTCAATGGCTTGGGATTAGGAGCATTAGTATTCTCCTTGAACGCACACGCATTCCTGGTAATAGATAGGTTACCCTACATTTGGTAGTCTAATTAGTCAGTTAACCTACACGTTTTCAATGAGACATTGTAGTATTTAAAACTTATGTGAAATAGTATTTCTTGTGTGTAAAAGCTTCGAGCATGTTTCCATGGTACATTGTTCTATTTGTATCATTTACCAGGTCATCATAATTATGTTTTCAAGAATTACTAATTAACAAAATGAAATGACAAATGTTACAGGGTACCAGAACATAGTTTGACACCTTGCCACTCGCGCTAACGTTAGCACCATTACCTAGGTAGGTACATTAAAGTCATTTAAATTAAGATGTCAGCCTTGACCAACACCTGACCTCCTGACGAGGGCATGTGGGGCAGTGCAAATAGTCGCGTAATCGTTTTCTGTTCTCCTATAGCAGCTTACCATTCACACCACCGGAGGTAAGCGTAATTATGCTTGGCAATCGCAAGCGAAACTTGCATCTCACCACAGATTTAAAACAGTTACATGAAGCCGTTTGTCACAGGACTTACCTCCTGGAGAAGGCAGCGGGGCAGTGCGCGCAGCGGTACTTTCTGTCACCCGTGTGCAGTTTCACGTGGCGATCGCGCGAGCGTTTGTGCTTGAAAAGTCGCGCGCAGAACTCGCACCGAAAGGGCATTTGGTCAGAGTGTGTCTNATGTGTCTGAAACAATTACAGCGAAGTTTTTATAGTTTTTAATGAATATCAAAAATCAATCAAAAGGGATGAATCCTTAAAAAGATCAAAAGGTGAAAAGGATACAATATTCAAGGGATGAATCATTTTTAAAAAAGATAAAAAGTTGAAAAGGATACAATCTTTCACGAGCTACAACTTTCGAGCGATAGAGGTAATTGACAGTAACCAAAAACATAAATTGCAAATGAAATCACTTAAATGAAAGCAGAAAGCATAATGTTTTAAGGACTAATTAAGTCACTAAGAGTCATCTACAGTTACTTCCAGGTAAAAGCTACAGCGTTTAAGTGGTGTAACTGTAACGGCCGATCTATACGATTTTGAATCTTATCGAATCATGGACTACATCAGATTGGAGCTATAATCTGTATGAGTACTAACGATTAAAATGTGTAAGTCATACAATGATTGAAACGAAATAGCTCCGGGTGCGCTGATCATAAAAACACCGTGAGAACTGGCCATGGACAATGGTGCAACTACTGTCCGCGTGATCAGACCAGCTCGGGACCGCGGCTTTTGTCAATGGACGGCAAAAAAGAAGACTAGGAGCCGACCGCCTGAGGGTTCTATTTGAGTTAGAATTGATATGTCAATACAATACCTACAAAGTAGTACCTCTTAAGATTTATTTATTTTATTTATTCCAATACAGTAAGTACCTCTAACCTAGTTAGTAACTACCTCTTTTGCGTTTGCGGAAAACGCATTGAATTGCATATACCCAGTCCGGGAGGGCCAGTGGATTATGGGGCTCTCACTATTCTACTACCTAAAATTACCTGCCTACTTCCTAAAATTGTATTCTCATAGTACTATCAATTTTGAGGGTTTAATACGATATTATCAGGAACCCTAATGTTGCACGAGACAGTCGTGACGTTGGATTAAGATATCAGCGCGGTTGGGAATTGCCACAATCAATGGAGATCGATTGAGTACGATACCGTAATTTTCATCTGATCGTTTTCTCCTTTTACGCAACAACAAAAAGCTTTCGGAAAGCAATAATTTATCTAGCACCCTATACGTCGATTATCATTTCTCATTTCATTGATATTATAAACACGACTAAAGTACTCGGTATATCCTATAACTTATAGGTTTCATACAACCATTTTTTTAAACTGCCATCTACAGCTTCCAACCTTAAAATAATTAAAAAGCAAAATCATCGACTAACACCGGTGGAGATATAATAGTGAGCGATAGAGGGAGCTATTGTCCGCGTCATTGGGAGTAACGAATCGATGAGCGATAACATTCCGCGCGGGAGCACCGCGCTTATCCTCCATCTACATCTTGTTCCGATCGTAATGCTCATCGTTTTATCAAATTTTGGGGCTCCATACCAAGCCAGATGAAGCAGTAGGCTATTGGAACAATTCATAATAAGAAAACACATCAAAAAACGGAATGAAGCTCTTTATCAGGTCTCTACATTATCACGATATCGAATAACTTTATCAAAGACGAAAGGTTATAAGTAGAATGTTCACAGAATCTAATGTGACAAAAAGTATCTTCTAAACAATAAATATTTCAAATTAATACATAGGTACCTACACCTGTTTTTAAAACACATGTAACAATACTGAAAAAACTCTTCCAAGCTTTAACGAATGATGTCCGCTGGATTAGGATATCCAGTCGTAAAAATACTTAATGATCTTAAACTTTCGTTTAATCCAGCAGTTATAAGCTTAGGCAGTTAAACATATTTCAAGCTACGCATTTGACAGTTTAATAACGATTATAATATGATGGTACATGCTATGAATGGGAGACAAGTATTAAGGCAAGTATTCGCACAATGTCCTAACACAATAGGCTGGTGCTAAAGGTGTCATTTGCTGTAATGGCTGCGGCTAATGTGGCCCGGAGACGCTAACGAGTTTTTAATCCTAGCAAGGTGACACTATGCGTATGTCACATTTACTCGTAATGCATCATTAGGCTTGTGAAATTAAAGTAGATGCACATACACATATGAAGTCATTCATAAAAAGTACTTGTAGACAACTGGATAATTTGGAAAATTATCCACGAAAAGGCAATGTTTTATTTCCTTCTTGAAGAGGCTGAAACTTTTTATTTATTTATTTTCACCAACTTAAACTATCTTTACATGTCAATAATTTACTTATCAAGGTTTAGCCGACTACCGCGTCTGGGCATTGGAAATGTGCACTTACTTTTACTTTTGGTCATACGAGTTGCAATTCTTCAACAATGATAACTAGAGGATAGCGTTAAGTGAGAACAAGAGTAGATTTTCCTCGTATATTGTACGTCTAAATTAGTATTTTCATGAGATCTTATCTACGTGATGTTGGTTGGTTGTTGTGGTAGTTATTGTTATGTGTGTTTTGGTAACGACTTCATTTAGCAAACGATGAATTAGGCACCTACTAGGCCAAAGATTTCGCTTTTGGCAGTTCTCACATACATTTGTTTTTAAAATACGCTGAAAGAATATTCATAAGTTCATAATGAGTATGCTAATTTTGTTGTAATGAATTGCGGCTGGCAGGGACATAATGGTCGTCTTCGGCCTTCGCAGCACCATGAATCGCGCCGGGACCGCCGGCATATATGGCCACAATGGACTCCCAACCTGACAGCTTCACGCTTGTAATGTGACCACCTCGACAGCTCATTCAGTGCTTCTAAACAACGCACGTCAAGTGATTGACTCCACTTGTTCTCGGTTTTAGGCAATATGCTAAACGTTTTTCAGCAAAACAAACAAAAATCTGAATCGGAACGAAACGCTTTGACTCGTTTAGAGATCGGCAGTTAATAATAATCTCTGTTTTTAAATAGATGTCTCTTAAACAGGTAAGAGAACCATTTAATTTAATTAAAGATCTTAAATATACGTTACTTAGATAAATATGGTGCCACTACGGAAATATCTGTCGACTATCACTACCCTAATTATATTCGTAATCGCGCGATCATTGAAAAACACAATTGTTTTTAAGATCAAGAAGACTTATAATTAAGATTCCTTTTACTGCTAATGTTTATGTGGAACATAATTATGTACTTATTGGTTTCAGTTAATACCTTACTAACTTACAATTTATTGATCTTTCGACGGAACCCATTTAAGACAAGAGATCCTGCAGTACTGTACTTTCACAACACGAACTAACACACAAAACAAAAGCCTCCTTTCCCTTGTAGTAACATATAAACTAGGTACACAAGATCCCGTGTCTCTGAGGGTGGCTCGTGCGACCCCAATTAAGTGCTCAGGATTTTCCGTATACTAATATGTTCTTTTTAATTTTGATCGTATAAATCAAGTCTCTACATATCTACCTAACCTACTCGGTGTCTGCTTGAGGCAATACATCTGATTGCATATAACCTAAGCATACTTTTACTCGCCCCAAGATAATTTAAACTCCAGTTACATAGGAACACACACACATTTGCATGTAACAGAGGCCGCTGAGGTTTAACGAGTTAAAACTAATCGCCTGCGTCAATGTCCGGATATCCTGACGAATGGCTCAGTGGCCGGTATCGGCTCAATTATGGCCATCAGTGGCTCAGCCGCTGTTCTAATTGTGCTAAGTGATGGCGCTTCCGTTGGCGCAACGCCGCTTTCTTAGCGGAGGGAACGATTTATGTTAGGTACTTTAAAGCGCACTTATTTATGTCGTGAGGCACATCAATATTATAATTTGCACCCAAGAGATACAGTAATAGAAAATAGCACTGCTACTTATCTTAATGTATAGCCACTTTTCCGTCCACTTTTCAGTGCTATTGAACAATAGAATTGAAAAGAACAACTCGATTTTAATTTCATAATCATAATTAGTAATGTCGATAGACCAAACTAGATCTTGGATGATTATATCTATAAAACTTCAGAATCACTACTTTTAACAATCAAGTATGATCCGGGAGCATCAGTTGATTGCTCTTTTTAATTGACTCCATCAGAGGCCAAAGGACTTCAACTCCCTACAACTGGCTTAGTGGTCCAACTGTACACTATAGAAGTCAACCGTCACAGAAATATTTTTGGTCAGGAAGCTAAGCAGACAGACTGTCTAAGTCTAAGACTGGGTTGCACCACCTTACTTTAACATTAACAAACGTCAAAAATCTGTCAAACTCCATACGAAAAACATAGGTTATCCTCAAAGTCACGGCTGTGGTTACGGTCAAAGATAGGTGGTGCAATCAGTAGTACGTTATTTAATCGATAAAAAATCGTTAACTAGTAAAAATCTCTCTCAATTTTTAGGTAGGCTTCCCACAATTAGTAGCCGGCCGCGGACCCGCCATGTGAGTGATATCTAAATCACATGTTGTGATTAGCGGTGACTGTGAGGGACGCGCGCGCGACCGGTAGCGATGGGCTCCATTTATCAGTATTGCAATTCGAGTAATAATTTTATTGATTTTGAAAATCAAGAAGAGTGATAAATCCAGACAAATGTAGTGAAAATTTAGATTATAGGGAATAACGAAACAAGGATGGAAATAAAAACATGTAAACTCAAATAACATTAGGTAGGTAGGTATGTACATACGAATACTAAAAACCTCACCCTTTAATGTAGGTAATTCAGTTTTAAGACAAAAGGATTGATAGAGCCATAACACATGCCGCATTAGGAACCGTGAACTTTATGATGAGATGGAGTATACTATGTAAAGTATAAGACTGATGTAGAGTCTCTACATTGATCTTATGATATAACTGAAGATAAATGTGGATGAGGTCTCTTCATCAGTCAGAATTAATGATTTATTTTTATTCTATTTTATTTAACAATGTTTCAACAGCATGTGATTGTAGTTGTACGTAGGTACATGTGCAGGAAGATACTACTTGAACATAAGCCAATTAAAGAAACGAACAAAATGAAATAACGATTGAAACACTGAATAAGTAAAATAATCAACATCTGTTCTTCTTTTGTCATTTATATTCACAGGCTTTTCAACGTTATAATGCAGTTGGATACTAAAACACTTTGGCAAAGTTCTTTTATGTCAAACGTCAGCCCATCACTAAAGGCGGCGCGCGCGCAGCCGGGCGCATAAACTTCCCGCGGCATGTTTACTCCGCTCGCTTAATTGGAGCAATCGGCCCCCGACAGAATTAATAAATCCGAACGTCTGTACGCGATAAATCCAGCGCCCATGCCCACGCACTTTTTGTACCTGAAAACGTTATACGGGAATTCGTTATGTTTTACTAGGATATCCTCTCAGCTCGCTTTCTTTACACGTCTTCAAGTGCCTCATTATGCACTACTTATGCTAATGTTGAAGTTGTTACTAGCACCTGTCTTGAGATTGCTCCTAAGATTTCTCTCAGTTAATTTAGCAATTTCGTAATGAAAGTGAAAATATTAATTCACTTCAGCCGGCACCTCATTTCGCTCGCTTTATACCGTTACTTGTAAGATTTATAATTCTAGAGTGCATTGAAATTTTCTTATTTAATCAATGTTATTTTTTTGTTTATTAGCATCATCTTTTTCACCAATCTAATCAAATGCAAAAATAATAATCAATGAATATTAAAAAGCAATGCATCGTCCTGGACACGTACATTCACACTGTTGCCGTTTGCCAATGCAAATGGAAAAATTATCCAGTGTGGACGCTGCATTATATTTAACGAAATATTGGACTTGTCATCACAATCCTTCGTGCGAGAATTCAATAAGCTGCGCGAAGCTCCGCGGGAGATCCCAGGCTCCCAGGGTGCGCGGGAGTGCGCGGTTGACCACGCGGCTTATGGTGATGCGGCACGCGAGTAACGCCGCTCGTTATTAAGTACCCGAATAGCGTGAGAGCGTCCGACATTACGAGCCCAATGTTTTCCGCGTATAGCTCACCAAGAACATTTCAAACTAGTTTGAGGTGAACGTGATAGCCAATAAAAGCTTGGAATGGGCTACCGGGCGACTTTCCCAGTACAATAACGCGCCGGTTCACACAGTCGGGTGACTGCGGGTCCCGGGGTCAGGTGCTCGTCGCCAAAAATGTGGCCGAGCGCCTTCTCAGGGTAATTGTCACCTGGACATAAAATGTTTCTTGTCATTACTTAAGATGTAGCGATAAGGGGCTGCAGCTTAAAGGAATGCATTATCTCGGTTTTACGTTGAAATACGGTGTGTTTTGTTTACCTCTTTATAAATAATTCATACACTACAAGGATGGAGGAAGGAATGGTCTACTTAATTTATTTTATTTATTTAGCTCTAGATGCATGTAGCCCCGAGGCTTAGGTGATGTCCCAAGCGAGATTCTAATCTATTTATTGCACATTTATGTTGACAAAATAAGTGGGCAATTTTCATGCTCTCGCTTACCTCGATATTTCTGGGGCATGCGGTGCATACATTTACACAAAAGAACTGGTAACCATTTTTTTCATGAAAATTTGTAGTTTGAAATCTGTTACAGATTACTGTGACAAAATATTCTGCTCTATACCTAGAGCAATGCCGAAATATTTTCTTATCTTATGTTTTTAAACATTTGGCGGAAATGAGGGTTTTCGCGTATGAAAAATCCGCCAGATGGCAATACGAAGACGCAAGGTTCAAATGCTGCATTTTTGGTTATTTTTGACATGACATTGACAGATATGTCAAAATCCACCAATCACGCAGCAGTCAGACCCCACATCCACGTCCCGCCATCTAGCGGATCTTTCATACGCGAAATCCCTCATTGGCACCCAGCGTGTGGGAGTGGATTTATCAACTAACACTGTTAAGACTGCTCTTAAATTAATATTAACCAGAATAACAATTAGCTCAAGACCTAGGGTGTTGATATTCATCCAGCGGACACCGTCGACATAGGTTTTGGCAATGGTTTTATGGATGTTTACTTACTAAAATAATTCATACACTACAAGGATGGGGGTGCGCCAAAGTTCACCTAAATTTTCAACTCCGAAAATTGGAAGTCCGAAAATGTTCTTCCTAAAATTTTTCATCCTAACAATCACAATTCCTAACTACTCTGTCTCTAATGTTCATAATTCCGAATCATTCAACTTCATAATGTCATTAGCAATAAACATCTATTATACTTTTTTTTNACTACAAGGATGGAGGAAGGAATGGTCTACTTAATTTATTTTAATTTTATAAAATATGCTCATACCTTTAGAGCGAGTTAAATTTATTTACAAGCTCATAAAATAACCAGTAGGTAGGTACTCTACTTTCTGCGCACATGCGTTGCATTTCATTTCAAATTAAATTAAGATAAGATCTTAATGTTTTACGACTGCAATCTGATTTTAAACATTGTAGCATAACTGCTGCTACTGCTCTTGCTAAAGTAACTTTCTGCATAAATCAGTGACAAAGTTAGTCATTAAGTGACGTGACAGACCTACCGGGCAGTGAAGAACAAAGAATATGCCGTCAGATTTTATTCCGAGTTAAAATTAGGATCCGGATGATGAGGCCAATTACAAAACAAGTTCGAATGATTGTTAATTGGAGAGCAATATGCTAGACAGAGAGACTACAAGGGTAGAGTGGGTGTGACGCGGCCAGCCGTCTGCGAGCCGCAGCCGCCCGCGCCGACTGTTTTACGAGCGCGATTGCACGTCTCTATCAAATACGCTACAATACATATCGGATGTCTTAATTAACTCGGGCAGTAAATTTCATCCTATCAGCATTTCAGCTTTAAAGTAATATTTTCCGTTGCAAGTTTTACTGTTTTACGATTTCTCCAGGCCTAAGACGAATGGCTAGCTCGGTCTGTAATTGATTTATTCTTATAATGATCGCCTTTCCCATGTGCGGCGCGATGATAAAGGTGTGGCGCGCAGCCTAGGGAGTTGTTATCTGGAGCCTATTTCCGGCCGTCAGCGTCTGTCGCGCGGGACGCGATCATCGCGCGATACATTTGTCGGCGAAACCTCCGCACTCCATCCGCGCACGCATCGATCTCTATCTCCGCAGCGCTGCACTGACCGCAATTGCATGGCGATTATCTAATGAATCCTCGGCAATTAGATTGTTGCATTCCCCGAATGGCTCCTCGTCCGACCTCCCGAATTCGAGGTGACATTTCTACCACTCTGCGCGTACGTGGCGATCGGTATCTTTGCGTAGGTGAGTTTCGGGCGGCAGCTTGCAAAGTGACGTTTCTATTTATCCTATCTCGGCTAGATCTGTCGCGGCGTGTTGTAATCGTAACGCGGTGAGATCGGCCGCGCACAAAGGGGCCGAGATGTGCGGCCGTAATGGCTGGCACGTCACAGCCTAGACGCACTCGAGGCGGCGATGCATATCTACGCACGGCCTCTATAAATGGGCCGTTTTGGGTATCTACTTGCTAATGAATACGGGGCTGCATAGCGAAACTAGACTGTGAATTCACAGATATGACGGCCGTAATAGTCGTTTTACTTGCGTCGTTATTCAAGTTGCTTTATGGTAGTGGACGAGTAAACACACTCAGTTATCTTGCTGCGTAAGCTCTAGATGCATGTAGCCCCGAGGCTTAGGTGATGTCCCAAGCGAGATTCTAATCTATTTATTGCACATTTATGTTGACAAAATAAGTGGGCAATTTTCATGCTCTCGCTTACCTCTATATTTCTGGAGCGTGCGGTGCATACATTTACACAAAAAAACTGGTAATTTTTTTCATGAAAATCTGTAGTTTGAAATCTGTTACAGATTACTGTGACAAAATATTCTGCTCTATACCTAGAGCAATGCCGAAATGTTTTCTTATCTTATGTTTTTTAACATTAGGCAGAAATTGGGACCCAGCGTGTGGGAGTGGCTTTATCAACTAACACTGTTAAGACCGCTCTTAAATTCATATTAACCAGAATAAAAACTAGCTTAAGACCTAGGGTGTTGATATTCATCCGGCGGACACCCTCGACGTAGGTTTTGGAATGGTTTTATGGATGTTTTACAGGGATGAATATATAACTTAAAAAGAACATTGTTATTTGCTCATGTTTCTTCAGGTACAAGGACAGTCCCGAGAAAGCTTGTCGCAAAACTGGCACTGGTATGGTAGAGCGCGATTTTGGTGACGCCGAGCGTGTGGGGCGGCGTCGTCGACTTTTTTCGTCATCGATGGTTAAAAGTATCTATTCTATGTAAACATACCTGCTCATGTTTCTTCAGATAAGACAGCCTCGGGAAAGCCTTGTCGCAGAACTGGCACTGGTAGGGTGTGTGCTCAGTGGCGCCGAGCGTGTAGGGTGGCTCGGCGTCGGCGTCGGCGGCGTCGGCGGAGGTCGGCGTGGAGGCGGGTGACGGCGACGGCTCGGGCGTCGAAGACGGCCAGGAGCTGCCGGCCGTGCTGCCCACGCTGCCCAGGGCCTCTATAACAATAGAGGAATAGGAAAGTTTTAATATAATTGTAAAGCTCGCTGATTAAAGAGGGGCTCTTTTCCGACTCTTCAACCTAATTGGTCAACCCACTCCTAACTCTGCATATTATAATACGCGTATTTAGCTTTACGATTACCTTGTATACCACGCTCATAGGAAGAAATACAATAAACACAAGATGATCATAAAGGCTAAACCTGAAAATATACCTACATAGTGACAACATGTTACAAACTTCAAAGCTTAAGTAAAATTCATGACACAAACTCCGTCGCAAAAATAAACTCCTACAGGTAAATTCGACATTCNATCATGTTCACGGCGAGGTCCCCTCACCTCTTTGTTCAATTAGGCACAGAATTAATATTAACTACTTATTTAGGGATAAGAGTAAATAGAGAGTAAATAGTTTCATAGGCTTGGATGTGGTAACTGATTTTATACAAAGTTATTGATTCCAATACCTAAGCTTTGTAGATTTCCATACTGAAAGTCATTAGTTTTCTTTAGCTGAAAAACACGCTTTTCAAACTTTCTTCCTCTCTTCATACAAAACCTTATAATTAATATGATACATTTATCTAAATCTCTGCTCCCATCGGCTATAAAAACCGGTGTGAAGTGAATATTTTGCGTTAAAAATATTTATTTTCATTGTTTCCACCCCGGTGCTTAGCGTGCGGAACTATTTATATCAATTCGCGCCCTCGGCGCGTGTACGGGCCCCCTAATGCCCCAGATAATGACAACTCAATTTAAGGGACAGCATCATTTGAAGCAAATTAATTATAATTATAACCTAGCCTCTTAGCTTTAAATCAGTATTATATATTTTGCATTCGTGGAGGAGCAGGGATAAGTTGACAAATAAGTACCTACTCTACATGGAATCTCACCAAACTTGAAAATAAAAAAGTTATTCTAGAGTCAATATTTGACACAAATAATTCATTGAATTGAAACTTTGATGAAATACCTATAGGAAAAAAGGTTAAATTGTTGTGACAAGACAATGTGCAAAAAAAATGTAGGCAGGTTTGAGAATCCTACTAATATTATAAACGCGAAATTTGTATGGATGTCTGGATGTCAACATGTTTGTTAATCTTTCACGCAAAAACTACTGAACGGATTTTGATGAAACTTTACAGTATTATTGTTTATAACCCACAATAACATGTAGGCTATAATTTATGACGATCTGTGACAAAACAAATTTCACGCGGGCAAAAGCTAGTTAGTAATATTTACTTGAATGCTAGTATTGCGTATTTCTATGTATTTCTTATACCCCTTTCAGACCCACGACGAAACTAAACAAGGTAGTAATAAAAAAACTCGATATTCATTATCTTTGGGGATCAGAGAAAATGAATATTGAACATTTTCAGTGGTCCTATGTTGTTTTCATGGTTTTTCAGGGGGCGTACAATTGTATCAACGTGGGCCCAACTCATTCAAAGTCACAATACAAAACATTTTAATTCGAGGGCATTTAATGCAATTCATAGTCCAATGAACCCCAAAGATTATTTGGATTTCATTAGATGTACATTGTGATTTCATTTGCTGGCCCTTTTCGGCCATGTAATATAGCGCAGCAGCGATAGCAAACTTTACAAACAGATTGACTTTAAAATAAATTTCTGAGTACTCCGCAAATGATTTGGGCTGTTCATTAGTTTAATTATCTTGAGCTTGACTAGTAGTCTTGCCACGAAATCTTTTTTTTGTCCATTTGCCGTCACTTTGATTGGGGGTTGCCCTCAAAGATGAGAGTGGAGCATCATTCTTGGAGGAGTAAGAATCTTCCAATCTTGCACACATGCCTCATGAACATCTACCATGCTATACTGTTCCAGTTACTCCCCAATTGTATCGTAATTAAGGAAAAATAATGATCTAGCCATTGCAATGTAGTACCTAGTTGGGCCCGCAGTGATACAATTGTGACTTAATACTTCTGTGACACTTTTTCTTGAAAATTTACCAAAAATACGAACAAATTTATTGACTGTTACGTAAAACAGTTCATAATTAACTATAAATCACAATAATAACATAGCAATAACATAATTTTAATGTAATTAGATTCACTCACACGCAGCGATACCCCAAACAAGAGCAACGGCAAAATGAACCCGTTTTAATTTGAATTTCGCGGCGCTTGCTGGCTATCTTACTCACACCAATAGATAGAGCATATCCGTCACAATCGTGCGGCTGTGGGCCCGATCACTTACGCCTTAAAATACCGCCAAAATTTTTCTTTAAACTAACGTCACAATTGTGTTCGGCTGGGCTGAAAGGGATACATACATTGGATTTATAAAAAAGCTCTAAATCACAGATCTCATTTAAAAACGTCAATTCGCCTTTGATTGTACCGACTTCATTCCCCCAGATTATTCTAATTATGTATTTTAATATAAAAGCTGTAATCCAACGTAACTACCGACCTCGAAGTGTAATCTAAAGCTACGTGGCTACGTCTGAAGTACCGCAATTGAACTGCAATGCATGATAGTAGGATTAATAGCGCAGACAATTTTGAAGCATGGTAGCGATTGGCGCTGATTGCCGAGGCGCCGGCCGAGGTGTCCAGTCGGGACGATTACGGGACTATTCCCACCTCTCGTTCCCACCGCTGCAACTCCTGTGTAGCCAGGATCTACAACTTGACCGCCAATAAAAACCAAACCAGTGAAGTTCAGTTTGTCCTGGGGGAAAGTTATTGGACCCGTAACGAAATTAATCAGAAGGAGTTCGAAGTTAAGTTTCGACTTATCCAGTGCAAATCGGATGACAGGAGACAAAACAAAAGTTAAGTTACCTTTAAGAAAAGAATGCACAATCAAACTGTAATGCATGATAGTAGGATTAATAGCGCAGACAATTTTGAAGCATGGTAGCGATTGGCGCTGATTGCCGAGGCGCCGGCCGAGGTGTCCAGCCGGGACAATTAGGAAGTGCGCTTCCGCCGCCCACCGCCGCGCGGCGCCACCGTCACCCGAGGAATTGCTTGCAATCGCTGCTAATTACGCTGTCCGACCATCCTCCACTACACCCACGGCTTGTAACTAATACTCGGGCTAGACGTACTTTCTGGGTAATCTCAAATCCGTTGTAACATTGTCTACGCCTCCTTGGTATCCCACACCAAAATGTAGTTGAAGACTTTATGAATAAGTAACAACACCTATAGAATTACCTACCATTGCAAGATTAATTCACAAGACAAACATTTTCCGCTAAACTATTCAATACCAAAATCTAACGGGAAAGAAGAACGGTCACGCCCCATACAAAAAAAAACCCAGACCCGACAGAAACGAGACATGCCTCAGTTTTTTTGTCATGTCTTAATTAGTTAAATTATATATCTTTTATATTCGAAATCTAAAACACCAAAATATTACCCTTTGTTTTTGTTCAGGCGTTATACAAAAACAAATACAAAATGCCTATTTATCACCATAATTAAATGTCTATTACAGCTGCTATGGAATCTATCTAGGTGACCTGGAGATACAGCCGGATTATACAGGGTGGAAACGATAAGTGATCTCACTCGATTATTTCTAAACTATACAAGGTATGTCTCGTTTCTGTCGGGTCTGGGTCACAGATGACCGTTCTTCTTTGATTTTGGTATTGAATAGTTTAGCGGATTCAATGTTGTCTTTCCAAAATCTGTGCAGAAATTTTTATTTTTTTCAAATCCTGTTTACAAAACGGCAATTTCATTGCCTTTTTAGTACATAGTCAGTTTAGTCAGTCAGGATGATTGAATCACAGCTTATAACTTAAATATATTATTGAATTTTAAAAATCATTGACTAACTCATAGATTGTTCAAGTTCATAAAAGAAAATAACATAATTATTAGTTTGCAAAGAGTGCGCATTACGCCACCGTCGCGTGCGCATATTTAATCTTCTGCAATTCTTTATGCACTGCGCGTCGGGCGGGTGCACCCCATGACGATGCACAAGGTGCATGCATGCGGGTATACTCGTTTGTCTTTGCCTTTTAATTACGTCGATAAGGTTTATAACTTTTTCCAAGATAATTTGAATAAAAATACAAACTGCTAAAATAAATGCAAGTCGCGTGCAATCTTTTGCAGAAACTATTATTATGTATTAAGATTTTTAGCTCAGATTTCGCAATATTTCCTAATTAATAAACATTTGTTCAGCCTACTTTTTAACATTTTTATTAATTAATTTCTCTTCCATTTTCAGGCATAATCGCTCCTTTCTTTTTTCGATGATCGAAATATCATTTTTCAGGCTCCGATTCAATCATAGTAGTACCTTTATAATACTTTACGTTCTTTTAATTCAATTTTAAAGCAATTAATTATACAATTCAGTTTTTCAGTATAAAAGCTTTTTACACCACACAAAGCAGTGGTAAGTAAAGTAGGCTAGAAGAAGCAGAACATGAAACTCAGTCATTTGCTTGCTTCTGAAATTTTAATAATATATTGTGGTAACGACGGACAACTACGGAACCCTACACTGCGCGTGCCACGACACGCACTTGGCCAATTTTTTCTGTTTATTTTGAAGCAAGATAATTATATTTTGTTTTCTTAGAAAAATATTACAATCTTTAGTTTATTGTAAAAGTTTTATGTTCTTAAGGACGTAAAATGCTGCCAAATATCGAGTAATCTCAAAAATTCAAATAATAATTAAAGAAATTAATTCTACAGATTTTATAGTACTAATCTGTTTGATCACGAAATCATGAAATTACTAATCAGCAATTTGCACTATTTATTATGTCGATAGTTTCTTTTATAAGAACAAAAAGCTAAATATTTTATAACCTTTTCTTTTTATAAGCCATTCGAGTGCATTTATGCGCTGCACCTGACTTTCATGTCTATGATAATCCAATTGGATTCTAATTACTAATATCTCACTCTATTAATCAAGAGTTAGTTTAATCGTCTAAAATTGATTTCAGCTCTTGTATT